GATATCAAAACTCACCATAACCAACTATATTTTTATAAAATAGTGAATTCTGGATAACAAAACTCACCATAACCAACTATACTGTTATAAAATAGTGTATTCTGGATATCAAAACTCACCATAACCAACTATATTTTTATAAAATAGTGAATTCTGGATAACAAAACTCACCATAACCAACTATATTGTTATAAAATAGTGTATTCTGGATATCAAAACTCACCATAACCAACTATATTGTTATAAAATAGTGTATTCTGGATATCAAAACTCACCATAACCAACTATATTGTTATAAAATAGTGTATTCTGGATATCAAAACTCACCATAACCAACTATATTGTTATAAAATAGTGTATTCTGGATATCAAAATTCACCATAACCAACTATATTGCAGCTTCAAGCCATACAAGATCAATATTGTCAAGTAAAAATGCCATAAAATAAAGTGTATTTGGATATCAAAACTTAAACCACGACCAACTGTATTGCACCTTCAAACAATTAAAGCTCAGTCTCATCAAGTAAACAATACTATAAATAAAGTATATTTGGGATATCAAAACTCACACTAAAATGAACTATACTGAAGCTAATTAAGTCAGTAAGCGAAAATTGAAGTTTTAAACATTTCTATGATGAAATACACCAAGTATAGTAATATCTATAGATCCATTGTAGTAAGAAACGTTAATAAAAGTTCATAAAAATTCCCCCAGGTATAAAAATACATAATACAACAATGAAGATAAAACATAATCAAAATCTAAATTTTTTTTTCAGCTTTTAAAAACAAAAAAAACAATTTGTTTTTGAGACATTGTCTTATACAAGGTTTCAACCATTAATTATAAAAACAAATACTTTATAATTGCGCTGCTGAGTCAAATGAATATTCCTCAACAGAACAATTATTTACTTGGGGACTTAGACTATCACTAACCTTCAACACAACAGAATGTTCTGCAGATTTATGCCTTATCTCTATACTGTAAGAGTTTCCTGAAGAATCTTCTACTTTCCACTCTTCTCCATAAATAGCTCTGAGAGCTTCAACTTCTTCAACCTAAAATATAAAATAATAATTCTGAAACAACTTCTTACCTCTCTATAACCAGTTTTCTTTAACATATGCTGTTGAAAAGGTTACTGCTTATATAGATGAGGGTAAGGGTGTAGATTTGGTGTATCTGGATTTTCAGAAAGCATTTGACAAGGTGCCACATAAGAGGCTTGTAAAAAAAATTAGCTCTATAGGTGTGTGGAATAAGTTAGCAAATTGGATTAAAGAGTGGCTGAATAGAATAAAGCAGAGGGTTGTTACAATTGGAGTTCAGTTACACTGGATTAATGTCACAAGTGGGGTACCTCAGGGCTGTCTTAGGACCTTTGCTCTTTTTGACTTACATCAATGACAAAGATGAAGGAATAGTCAATAAATTACTTAAATTTGCAGTTGATATAAAGGTCTTGGGTGTTGCTAGCTGTGAAGAGGATGCTGCTGATTTACAAAAGGATTTAGATCATTGTGTGAGTTGAGCAAATAATGGCAGATTGATTTTAATTACAATAAATACAAGGTAATACATGTGGGTTATTTTCAGACACCATTCTAGTAACCCTTTTCTGAACCCTTTCCAACAATTCAATGTCTTTCCTAAGGTTAGGGGCCCAAGACTAAACACAGTATTCCAAATGTGGCCTAACCAATGACTTGTATAATGAAAATATAACCTCTTTAGGCTTGTATTTAATATTTCTTTGGATAAAACCTAAAACCCTATTTGCTCTACCACTAGCAACAGCACACTGCTTGGATGGCTTTAGAGACTGATTGACTATTGTACCAAGACCTAAAACTATTAAGGTTATTCCCATCAAATTATGCTTATAATTCAAGTTATGTGGGAGGGGTGGGTCATACAAGGAGAGGCTGAAATCTATCAAATTGTTTTCTCTTGAAAAAAGAAAAGTTAGGGGGGATCTGATTGAGGTGTTTAAGATTGTAAAGGGAATTGATAGTGTCGATGCATCATCGTTTTTCACATTTAACAGTGAGAATAGTAGGACTAGGGAACATAAATATAAATTTTGGCAAGGTCAGAGTCATCTTCAGCTAAGAGTTTTATTTTCCTAACAGGGTGGATGCCCTATGGAATGGGTTGCCTTCAGATGTTGTAGAGCTAGTAAATTTAAGTGAGTTTATAAAAAGCTTGATAAGTATATGGATGATAAGGGCTGGCTTTAAGACTTTTTTTAATTATTTTCATTTAGTTTAGAGGATGGAACAGCCAAGATGGACAAACAGGTCAAATGTTGTCCCAAAATATTATGTTATATTATATTGTTTCTTCATGACAGATGAAGAAAATAAAATACCTAAATATAATTTTGTTCCTAATCTATATGCCAATCAAAGATCCACTTATTAGTACTAGTATCTTCAGTCTTGTGTTTAGCCTAAAATAGAAATTAGAAAAAAAGGTTAGACAAAGGAGGTAGGGTCATTTTGGGGTAAAAAACGGTAACTTATTCTACTTTGTAAGCTTGAGTTTGCTAAATCTTAAAGTCTAGGTTACCCAATTTTCTTTCTCCTCTAAATGCCTCTAATTTTTTTTTTAGGATAGTACAGGTAGCTTGAAATTGATTTATATTTTATAGATTGATTAGTGAGAGAATACACAAATCCTATCAATTTACCAAATGCATCACTTAGCATGAACAAAAATTAATTATTCTACAAATTTGTTACTTAAATTATGTTAATATTTGTATTATCATTCAACAGATTGCATGGAAACTTTCTGAAACAGGTATTTTACAGATACTTTGATATAAACATGTGCTGCTGCAGATAGATAATCAACTATACAATTCTGTTGTATTAAAACAAGTTATTATTAGTCATATATATATATATATACATTTAAAAGTTTGCTGGGCAAAAAATAAATAACACAGGAACTGTTTCTACTTGTTTGAAATAGTAGAGCTTAAGTCTACCGTGAGTTCTAACTTGTAACCAGTAAGTATCCATATAGTTACACAGTGCACAACTGGAAGCCAGTGTCAAGGATCATTGGTCATATCGGAGAACTGTAATTAGGGTTAACATCAATACTTTGTATATTAAATTTACAAAGTATTGATGTTAACCCTAATTACAGTTCTCCGATATGACCAATGATCATATTGGAGAACTGTAATTAGGGTTAACATCAATACTTTGTATATTAAATTTACAATGGTGTACATTAAATACTAATTAAGACATAATCAAGGAGTAATAATGTTCTTCTGTTATTTGGTTAACAGGCAGATATAAAGTACAAATAATAACTAAGTGTACAAACTAAATATTTTACTCTCCTCATTTTTAATAAAATAACAATTAAATAAACATATTAAATAAAGCTCACTTTTAAAAGATAGCTGTTTTGAAATTATCACCTGTCAGTGCATGAAAGTTTGTGGAACAATGCACTGTCTTTGTTGTACTGGAGCATCTGGATGCCAGAAACATGAAGATGAAATTGATTGTCTGAATAAATAAGATCTAGGAGTTTTGTGTAAATAAATACTGTGTGTGAAAAGTATACCTACTAAATGTGTTATCTGTAATGCATTTTTGTAATATAAAGGTGTGATTAAATGACTTTGGAGATACGGAAGCTGGATTTTTTATTTTTGAAACCTTATTCTGAAGATGTAGAAGTTTACTAAATTGAATTCACAATTCCCATGAGGTGTAAATGTGTATAAAAATCAATATCTTGCAATAAACAGCCAAAACAAATACAGTTAAAATTAATTTTCCTCATTTTTTGGTTTGTAAAAAAACTATATTTTCATCAACTCACAAAAGTTTGTATTTCAACAGATTTCTGCAATTTCAAATTAAATCAACAATGAAGCTTTCCAATTTTTCACCAACCATCATTAATACCATCTGAAACCACATAATTTTTGTAATTGTTTAATATGTATAAATATGCTAATGTAAGAGAAAATTTTTAATTCAAGCTTCAGATAACTACAACTTAAAAAAATTCGTAGCAAACAACACTTACCTGCCTGGTCTTTTGGAAGAAAATGTGGAAATATCTTTTTTAAAATTTATAAATCAAATTTTTAGAATAATGTAAGAAAAATTATTTTCAAGTTTTGCTTCTCCATTTTAAGCCTTACATGCAAAATGAGAAACTGGTAACCTAGATATTTTGATTCAACACATCCAAATTGACTTAAAAAAATAAGTTACCTACTTTAAACCAAAAATACTCCTATCAATTACAATTGCTGATTTCTGTATCAGGCTATGATCCAAGGCTTCAAGAATTAATACAAAAAATAATTTATCAGTATTTTCTGTCTTAGAATTACATAAAAAAACATTATTGATTAATTGATATTTCCTTTGATTCTGTTACTAAACATCAAACAAAAGTCAAAAATCCACTATTTTAATCCTCCTTGATTCAACATAGTAGTAACAGCATGTATTTACTTTTTCTTTTCTGTACCATTTGTGTCTCAATATCAGAAATAATCTATGTTAATTCTAAAAGGATAATTTTTAAAGTAATTTCATTTATACACATCACCCACTGTTGTGAGCTTACTGCAGTTGATTGGTTAATGTAACAATAGTTTCAACAAAGGCTGCACAATTTTCTGCTCAGTAAAACTTATTAAATCAAAGAACCTCAGTTTCTGGCTGAAATTAATCACATAGAAAAATCCATGCAGTAAGAAATAATTAGTAAAGAAAATAACCTAAAACTAATACTTTACAAAATCTCTATTTTAAATTAAAAGAACGTTTTTTTTAAGTCCTTGTGCATTAGTAACAATGATATTAGGTAGGGCTAAATGTTGAGAAACCTGAAGGGCCAAGTTGTCTTCTTGTTCTAACATTTCTGCCATGATCCAGCTTCTAAATGACTGAATTCTGTCTGCCCTTCAATCCTAAATTAATGAGAACAATTTTATTCTGGATTGTACTTGTAACCATGGTAATAACATCCATATATGTCTACCACACTAGTACTAGTAGTACTAAATCTTCATAAAATATTTATTAAAACACTCTTACAAAACTTAATATTTAGTTTCCTATATAAAATAAAATGTTTATGCCTCTTTCAACTTTAAATATTATTACCCACCTGAACTAACAACCTCATGGTAATTACTATAGGAAAGAAATCCTATGTAGTTTCATAGAACATGATATCTTTCATATCACTAATCTTTGACACCAGATGTCAAAGCCAAAGTACAAAAACTTAATATTAAAAACAAATGTTTCACAATTATTGCAAAAAAAAAAAATCATCGTTCTCTATCTTCCCAATTAAACATGACAGAAATTTATTTGTAAACCTTTTTGTTCCGTTTTGTTAATAACTAGGATTCTTTCTAAAAATACTATTTTCAAAAACTAAAACTCATTCACTTCACTGCTCTATAACTGTTAGCTGTGTTAGCGGTTATTTTAATCCAATTATTTAATGGAAAACTCGTTATACGAACCTAATTTAAATTCCAATTGAAAAAAAATTTTTTTTTATCATTTTATTTTATTTTTTAAATAGAACAGTGTTAGAACTTTAAGTATATATATGTATATGGGTGTGGGCCAAGGATTCTTCTGCAGTAGGTGTCTGTGACTTGTTAGCAATAAATTCGAACAATAAACGGACAGCACGCAATCCATTTGTTTTAAAATGATATATTCAAAACAAGTTAAACGTATGTACAAAAATTCTTTACACTATGAAGATCAGAGTTTTATCTTAAACAGTATACAGTTTCCTTCTTCTTGTCAAAAGTCCACTTAGGTTAATTCAATTGCTTTAGAATCCAATTGACAAGCCAAACTATTTTTCTCTACTGTTACATCTCTGTATGTTTGTTTGTTAATTCTTCTACGATACAAGTCCTTTCTTAAATAAAACTTGTTTATTCTTCCTCAAGACAACTTTTTAATACACTTAATTTTCAGTTACACACACTATAGTTCACAACAATTCACTTACTTTCTACCGCGCTTGACTTAATTGTCAGTCTCCGCCAACTATAGTTCCGATCTCTGTATCTGCTATCCTCGGTTCCCACCGACCGTAACCGCTGACCTTGGTTCCCCATTCTCCCTCTTTCTCTCTCTGCCTGCTTTGTCTGTCTCTCTTCGTTTTTCGTTTTTCCTGGCAGTTATTTAGATTTAAAATTAATTATTTCCGGAGAAATAATTATTAATCTAGGGTGCTCGAAGATTGAGCAATCCTCCTTCACCCCGCTCGTGATCTAGAAGTAAGGGCTTAACATGAGAAATGGGAAATTAATGCGGGCTAGATATGTAATTTTAAAAAGATCAAGAGAGAGTAATTATTGATAATTAAAAGTGAAGCAGAGTAAACTAAACTAAACTAAACGGCCGATATAGGACATATGGTCCATCAGGGCGGCGGGGATCTGAAAATCCTATGCCGAGAATTAAATGTGGCGGAAACGGGAGTACCCCGAGAAAACCCACTTTTACTGGTAACGTCTGATCCGTTACTAGTGCTCTAATAACGAGAAGAACTAAGTTGCAAGTACGGAAGGCAAAGTGAAAGCCGGTGCTGGGGGTAGATTAATTCTTGAAGATGTTGTGTAGTCTCCTGGAGTTAATCATGGATTTGAATTGGTTCCGAGCAGTTGGTAAAGGCGTGGGTTCTCAGTGTCGTAGGTGATAAAGCGGAAGGCTGAGAAAGATTCATCTGGTGGGTAGGGGTCGGGGGAGGTGTCGATAACTAGGGCGTGCGGTGAGTTAGACGTCGATGATGATGATGTAGACAGTGGCTTAGGGCTGGGAGGCGTGCTGTTGGTCTGTTGAAAGGCGTTGATGGTAAGTGGTGGCTGTGTCTGGGTGCCTTTTTTCCTTCTGGTAGTGGTGGTTTGAGTGGACATATCTCGTGTTTTAGGAGTGGGTGAAGTTTGAGTAGCTTGATCGGATGTTTTGGAATGAGTGGTAGAGTTCTGGTTGGCAGCGATTATCTTCAGGGTGTTGTGAAACGTGGGCATGGAAGCTGGGTTAGGAAAGGTATGGGGTGGTTGAGGCTTACAATAGGGTTTATCAGCCTTGAAATGATGGTAGTCAAGAAAGCAACCATGGGAGATGATGAGATCTGCAGTATGTTTAGAAGTTATAACAACTTTCATGAATGTGGAGGGTAAACCTGTATTCTTGGACTGGATGCGATGGACTGCGTCTCTCTCTCACCGTCTAGCGCACTTATATACGATAATACCGCCTGTTCTAGAAACTTCTACGCTCTCAACACGTGCTACCTGCGTCATTTGAATTCCGCTGTCGTAACACAATATCGTTTCTTCTAGAATACTCGTCATGTGACTTCCACTGTCGTAACACACTAGCGAATCTTCTAGAATACTCGTCACGTGACCCCCGCTGTCGTAACACTGCCCCTTCCCACCGACCGTAACCGCTGACCTTGGTTCCCCACTCTCCCTCTTTCTCTCTCTGCCTGCTTCGTCTGTCTCTCTTCGTTTTTTCCTTCTGGTAGTGGTGGTTTGAGTGGACATATCTCGTGTTTTAGGAGTGGGTGAAGTTTGAGTAGCTTGATCGGATGTTTTGGAATGAGTGGTAGAGTTCTGGTTGGCAGCGATTATCTTCAGGGTGTTGTGAAACGTGGGCATGGAAGCTGGGTTAGGAAAGGTATGGGGTGGGTGAGGCTTGCAATAGGGATTTTCAGCCTTGAAATGATGGTAGTCAAGGAAGCAGACGTTTTCAAGTTTGGCATCTCTGTCCTTTGGTCTTCCTGGAATTATATAACCACACCTTGTCTCCTGGTACAAAGCTGACTTCAATAGATCTCTGTCTTGTTGGCGCAGATGAACCCACATGAAGCAGAAGATAGGACATTTCCTGATGAAAATCGGTAAGTCACATCAGTGGTAGTAACTTCATCAAGGGCTTCACTGTTTCCCTTCTCAAAATTGAGTAGAGTTTCTTCTTCGACAGTGGCTTTTTCAGGTGACACATCTTCAGCAGCGTCATTTTTTCTGTTGTTCACTTCGTCCCAACTGAAATGTCCTGGACCGTAATAACGCCAAAGCCTGTTGGCATGCGCCACCTTTGGCTCACCTCGCCGACCACATATTTTGTCCGGAAAGTCACGTCTGAGAGACGATCCACTATGTCATATGGGCCTTCCCATGGAGAAGCCAACTTAGGAGACTTCCCTTTGGTCTTCCTGGGATTATACAACCACACCTTGTCTCCTGGTACAGAACTAACTTCAGTATATCTCTTATCATAAGATAACTTCATCGAATCAGCAGACGTTTTTAAATTTGAACGCACTTGATGGTGAATATTATCCATCCTTTCCGATAACACTTTCTACGAATT